GGGAGGCAGAAAGTAGGAAACTACAGACCAGTTGTTTGACATTTGTATATCATAGATCATAGAATAACTTGTTAGAATCCATTATTAAGGAAGTAATATCAGGACATCTTGAAAGTCAAAATATGATACATCAGAGTAAGCATGGTTTTGTGAAGGGTAAATCATGTTTCACTAATTTGCTAGAATTCTTTGAGGATGGAACAAGTAATGGAGATAGTGGGGATCCTACAGATGTGGTGTATCTGGACTTCCAGAAGGCATTTGATAAGGTGCCCCACAAAAGGTCTTACGCAAAGTAAAAGATCACATGGAGTTAGGGATAATTTATTACCTTGAATAGAGCATTGGATAGCTGACAGAAAGCAGAGTGTCGAGATAAATGGGTCCATATGATCATTAGATATATAGGAGATCTGTATTAGATATAGGAGCAGAATTGATCATTTGTGCCATCGAGTCTGCTCCACCATTGAATCATGGCTGATATGTTTCTCAATCCCATTCTCCTACCTTCTCCCCATAACCCTTCATCCCCTTACCAATCCAGAACCTATCAATTTCTGTCCTAAATACACTCAATGATTTGGCCTCCACAGCCCTCTGCGGCAATGAGTTCCGCAGAAAAACCTCTCCCTGGTTGAAGAAATTTCTCCTCATTTCAATTCTAAAGGGTTGTGTCCACTCTGAGGGTGTGTCCTTGTGTCCTAGTCTTTCCGGCTATTGGAAACATTTTCTCCAGTTCCACCCTATTCAGGCCTATCAGTATTCTCTAAGTTTCGATAACATCCCCCTCATTTTTCTAAACTTCATTGAGTACAGACCTGGAGTCCGCTCCTCATATGACAAGCCCTTCATCCCCAGGATCATTATTGCAAATCTCATATGGACCGTCTCCAATGCCAGCACATCCTTACTTAGATATGGAGCCCAAAACTACTCTCAACGTTCCAAATGTGGTCTGACTATAGCTTTATACATCCTCAGCAGTACATCCTTGCTCTTGTATTCCAGCCTATTTGAAATGAATGCTAACATTGCATTTGCTTTCCGAACTACAAACTGAACCTGAATGTTAACCATAAGAGAGTCCTGAACCAAGACACTCAACTTCTTTTGTGCTTCAGATTTCTGAAGCCTTTCCCCATTGTCTGTGCCTCTATTCTTCTCAGTGTCGGGTGTCTGGCCTCATATTTTCCCACATTGCATTTCATCTGCCACTTCTTTGCCTACTCTCCTAGCTTGTTCAAGTCCTTTTGCAGTCTCTCTGCTTCCACAGCACTAACTATCCCCATCTGTGTCATCTGCAAATTTAGCAACAATGTGCTCAGTTCCTTTATCCAGATCTTTAATGTATAACGTGAATAGCTGTGATCACAACACAGACCCCTGTGGAATTCTACTAGTCACTGACTGCCATCCTAAAAAAGACCCCTTTATCCTTAGTCTCTACCTTCTTCCAGTCAGCCAGTCCTCTATCCACGCCAGAATCTTGCTCCTAACACCATGGGCCCTTATCATATTTAGCCACTTCTTTTGTGGCACCTGGAAAGGCATCTGGAAATCCAAACAGACATTGTCCACTGGCTCCTTTGACTAACTTGCTTGTTACCTCCTCAAACAATTCTAACAAATTTGTCAGGCATGACCTCTCCTTGACAAAGCCATGCTGACTCAGCCCTATTTTACCATGCACTCTGCAATCTCGTCCTTAATAATGGACTCTAAAATCTTATCAACGTCTGGAGGTCAGGCTAACTAGTCTATAATTTCCAGTTTTCTGCCTACCTCTTTTCTTAAACATTAGCCATTTCCAATCCTCTGGACCCTCCCTGACTCCAGTGATTCCTGAAGGATCACTTAAAATGCCTCCACAATTGCCTCAGCTATCTCCTTCAGAACCCTGATGTATAGTCCATCCAGTTTAGGTGATTTATCCACCTTCAGACTTTTCAGCTTCCCCAAGTCCTCCTTAGAAATGGCCAGTACAGTTACCACTGCCCCCTGACTTCCTTGAAGTTCTGGTATACAACTGGTGTCTTCCAACACGAAGATTGATTCCAAGTACCTATTAGTTCCTCTGCCATTTCTTCATTCACCATTATGACCTCTCCAGCCTCATTTTCTTGTTCTGGTTCGCAAGATGTAACAAGTGTGGTGCCACATGTTTTGTTCCTTGGCCCCCGACTCTTTATAACATATACGTAATCACTTGGATATGGGCATAGAAATACTATAGCCAGATTTGTAGATGACACTAAAATAGTTGGGAGAGTTAAGTTGCAATGAAGAAATAAATTTACAAATGGATACGGAACGCTTATGTGAATGAGTCAAAATTTGGCAGATGATATTTACTATGGATAAATGAGAGCTATCCACTTTGGAGGAATAGAAAGGCAACTTATTATTTAAATGGAGAGAAACTTCAGAGTGCTTCATTGTAGAGAGTTCTGGATGTCCCTGTGCATGAATTGCAGTAAGCTTGTGTGCAGGTACAGCAGGTAATTAAGAAGGCAAATGGAATTTTGGCATTTATTGCTAAAAGAAAGAGCATAAAAGTCAGAAAGTATTGCTTCAGTTGCACAAGGCAATAGTGAGACCGCACCTGGAGTATTGTGTACAAATTTGTTCCCTGTAGTTCAGAGGTGGTTCACCAGATTGACTCCAGCGATGAGGTGTTGGTCTTATGAAGAGAGATCGAGCAGTTTATACTCTCTGGAGTTTAGAAAAATGAGAAGAGATCTGTGTGAGGTATATAAGATGCTAAAGGAGATTGACAAAGTCTTTTCATTCACTGTGGAATGTGGGTGTTGCTGGTTGGACCAACATTAATTGCCTATCCCTGGCTGCCCTTTAGAAGCTGGTGGTGAACTGCCTTTTTGAACTGCTGCAGTCCATGTGCTGTAGGTAGACCTACAATGCCATTAAGGAGTAAATGTGGAAAGGATGTTTCTTCATGTGGGGCAAACTAAAACAAAAGGTCATAGTTTTACAATAAGGTGGAGCAGAACATGGGCTGCAGTGTTTCAAGAAAGCAGCTCACCACCACCTTTTCAAGGGCAACCAACGACAGGCAATAAAAGCTGGCCAGCCCACATCCCTTTGAGTAAATTAAAAAAACAGGCTGTCACTGCTTTAAAAAATACTTAATTAGCTTAATCATTTGCATTTAAAACCTTGTGTGTATATATAAATATATATATATATAAACATAATCTCTTGACAGATGAGCTATAATTTAATTGTGATTTTCAGTGTCAGCTATGACTTACTTGGTCGTATGTTCATCTCTGTCAAAAGATATTCAATTCAAACCCAACTCCTGGATTTCAGCACCAGAATCAAGGCTAATACTCAGTTGAGGGAGTACTGCACTGTTGGAGTGGCTGGTTTTGGACGAGATATTAAATTAAGACACACTCGGAAAGCTAAAGATTCCTTGTTTCCATTTTGAACTGTAGGGGAGTTATTCCTCAGTGTCTGCCCAAAGTTTATCCCTCATATAATAACATGAAACCATATCACGTGTTTGTTATAACATTGCAGTTAGTGGAAGCTTGTTAGGCACGAATTGGCTGCCTTTTCGAATGATAAAATAATGATCAGACTTTAAAAGTGGCTGTAAAGCACTGCGAGACAACTGGTGATTAATCAAGTAAATGCAAATATGTTTTTCTTTTATAATTTGTTATTTGGATCTCTTTGATATTATCTTCTGTGAAGGGAAAATTTAGTTATGACATGAGTTAACCTGTAAAACAACATGAAGTTCCAGCTGGAATTAGAATAAGGTAAACAGTTTTAGATAACTTGATAAGCAATAATCATATTAAATCATTTAAGATTCATTTTTCATTTATTCTTATGCAAGAAAATCAGGTCAAAGGAAAAATCAGTTAAACCATATAAACATGCTCATGCTGATGTAGCGGACAGAGTTGCTGTGAAAATGCAACATAGCCGAACAAGAATTAACCCTGAGACCTTCTTTGAAAATGGAATGTGAAGATGACCCCATACCACCAAGAAAGACAAAGGAATGGGGTTCAGTCAATGATGGGAACAAAGAGCAGGCTTTGGAGAGGAGATAGGATGGCAAGTGGGAAGATAGGGAGTGGTGAGACCATGGGTATAAGATGCCTTGCCGCTTTTGGTATGTGTAAAAAAAACCAGATGTTTGTTTAAAACGGACCATTTGGGGAACCTGAAAAATGTACTGTCTACGTGACTTACAATGTATAAATATCTGATGAATCGTCATTGAGTTGGAGTGCTTTCTCAGAATCTTGGATTAATTCTCCTAAAGTTAGCTCAATAAATGATCATTGACCTGTACCTCGAGGCGCTGGAGATTATTTTGTTAAGTAATCCACTACGTAACCTGTATGACCGACTAAATGTGAAATACGTATGTAAATTTGGGATGTTATGCAACAGTAGTGTTGGGCTAGAAGGTCCAGGTTCAAGTCCCATCTGCCCCAAAAGTATGTCATAATATGTCCAAGCAGGTAGATTAAAAATAATTTTTATACTTGGAATATAGCTCACCATCATTTTCCCAGCCACTGATTGAAATGGGAAACAAATGCTGGCCTAGACATTGATGCCCATATCCAATGGAAGAATTTTAAAAATTAACAGTTAATATTTATTGATAGTTACGATTGACAGTTAGATCCAAACATTGCAACCTGTGTTTAACCAGAGTATAACCGCAGTGAAAACAGAAATTATTGGTGAAACTCTGCAGATGTGGCAGCATTTGTGGGAAGAAAGCAGAGTTAACATTTCTGATAGAGTTACTGGACTTGAAACATTAACTCTGCTTTCTTCCAACAGATACGCTAGATCTGCTGAGAGTGGCAGCAATTTCTGTTTTTGTTTCATATTTCCAGCATCTGAAGTTCTTTGTTTTATTAACTGAAATGTTTGTTTGCTTCATTTATTGCCTGTAATTCATAATATGTGATGTTGATCACTGATGTTTACTTGCAAAGCAGGAGTCATTGCAGCATCAGTGCAATGTGCTATCCAGTCAACATGAAGAAGCTATGGCTGTCCTAAAAAAGCAGGTACAAATCTTTTGTGATTATGAAAAATATTTTGTTTCACAATGAGATTTTATAAACAGATGATCATTAAAATCTAATTTTGCAAAAACTGTCTATGCTGCTGAAAATGAAAAATCATCTGAAATATGGAGTTTAATTATTTGATTTAATTTGAGAATGTGGTTTATTTTGCAATCGATATCACACCGAGAGACACTAACAAACTCACCAGTGATGGTATAAGTTGGAGCAATGTTTTGCAACTCGTAAAACAATTTCAAAGATAACTGATTGTAACTGCATTAAACCCAAATACAATATATTGGATTAAATGCATTTGCCACACATCAAGATTAAAAACAGTTAAAAATGTCCATTCAGTGCAGCTTTATGTACACCCTAAATGAATTTATACAGTTTTAACATGTAAAGTGCCAGAACAACGTAGGGTTTTCTGTGATGTGTAATTATACTGATAAGTGATATTTTTGCAATTAAGCTTCTAGCTAATGTATCAAAATATTGATAGAATTGCAGCTTCTTTGCTAAAGGAGAAGTTGAAGCTTTTCATCTTGTACTCATCAGAACTAGGATGCAAGATACAGACTTGGGGAGAAAAAGAGACCCATGTTATATGAGAAGAGGGTGCTGATTGGTTAGACCATTGTTGGCATGAAGATGCAGCATGATTTGTTAATTCTCAATCTTAATGTTTAGACCAGGTAGGTAGATTCTGATTGTAGCTTCTATCACATACAAATGCATCACACTGTGAGCCTGATCTTAAGTTGGTTTCTGGTGTAATTCATAGTACAGTCTGGATTATTTAATAAATAATTTTCAATAGCAGAATCACACTGAATGGTGGATATTCTTTTCTGAGCCTTGCAAGCATGTGTGGCATGTTGCCAGCTTCAAAAGGTAAATGAGATGTGTTGTTTGATATGGTCTACCAGTTATTGGGATATACAGCCTACATACCTGACATCAAGCTGACTCTGGAACTCCTACATAGCATTGCTCATTTGTATGGTAGGCAAAACATCTTTTGGCTTGGTGGCAACATCCTGTTATGCGAGAAAACCACTTCAGTTCACTGCATAGTAGCAGCGTGGGACAGCCAACTTCACCTGTTATTCAAAATTTTGGACACCTTCTTCCAGGGTAATCTGCGGTGGACTGCACATCACTCAGGGTCAAAAGTGATGCACGTGAGCCCTTTCATGATTTTTGTTGTATCTCCATGGCAGTGATGGCCCTACCAATCAACACACTCTTTTTATGCTTTTTAAAATGTTTCTTCTTTCAAGTTTGTTTCGTACATACTAGTTCTGATGAATTCAAGATGAAAAGCTTCAACTTTTAAACTCCTTTTTAGCATCATCTTTCATGTCTGTACCCTTCACCTCACGTTATAAAAATTTAATTGGGCACACAACAGTAAAACTGTGGACTAAATCTTCCCAGCCTCTGAGTGACATAAGCAATGGTGAGTCAGTTGGGAAAGTACAGCGAGATAAAAATAATTTGATTCCAGACTTTGAGAAACAAAGCCCGCTTTTCCATCCAAGGTTTGGTCAGCAAGATGAGATTCTTCTTGTGAAGATGAGGCTGATTTGCGAGCATTTACAGCCTCATTAGTATGCAATCTCACCTCATTTCTATGCAATTTCCTATTTTCCCCACAGAGCAGAGAAAACTAGATGGCAACAAATCCTAACATGAAAGTCTTGAATAGGTACCTGATGGCTCCATATTGCCGTTTGCTCCTCTGGGTCTCTACCTTGACCAGCATTTCCTAACATCTCTTGTAGACTCCATTGGTGGCAACCGCTTGCGCGCGCGCACGCACGCATGCACACATACGTCAGTCTCACCACATCATTGTGGCATATTTTAAATGATTGAAATAGAGTTCACCACTTCAGTGCTGCACTTTGGTGAGCACTAACACCTTATGTCGTAATATTGCTGCCTGGCCATTTTACACCCAGAAACAGACAGACATCTCATACACTGCAACAGAGTACATCTCCAGCTTTACAGCTTGATCTCTAAGTACTCACTCACGTTGTATCTACTTGAATGCTCGCTGCATGCCTGTCTTACCTTGTTTTGGGTTTTTGCACTTTGTTGCCTCATTCAGAATTTAAAGACTTAGAATACTGTGCTGCCTTGCTGTTTAGAGAAGTCAGGAAGCTTGTTGAGGTTGTTGGCAGTGTTCAGTGAAGGGAATAGATATGTTCCTTTATGGCAATGTGCTACATCATGTCACTGCCAGCAAATGCCAGCAGCTTATTCAGCAAGCACATTGTATGTGCTTCAGCCAACTGACTGTGTTTCAAAGTCTAAGGGGATTAGTCCTTGGGCTCCCACTAGGGGACAGTGGTCAGTTATGTGGTGTTGCCACATTCAATAAAGTACAGCGTTTGGTCTCAGTCCAGGTGCTGGGACACAGTCAGTGGCCATTTATTGTGGTCAGGGTCAGGGAGTTTCAAGTCTTGTCTGGATGAATGCAGCTCCAACAACACTCAAGAAACTTAAAACTTGTATCTAGAACAAAGTGGCCCATTTGATTGACACCACATCCGTAAAACATTCACTCCCTTCAGCGCTGATGCCCAATTGTAGCAGCATATATCATCTACAAGACGTGCTGGAGAAATTCACCAAGGCTCCTGAGACAGCATCTTTCAAAACCTTGGTCACTACTATCTAGAAGGACAAAGGTGTCAAATACATGGGAATACTACCACCTACGAGTTTCCTCCAAGCCTCTTACTATCCTGACTTGGAAGAGTATCACTTCAAATACTTTAGTGTTACTGGATCAAAATCCTGGAACTCTTTCCCTGTTGGGTGTACCCACTCCAAATAGATTGTAGTTATTCAAGAAAACAGTTCATCACCATTTTGTCAAGGGCAACTAACAACGAAAATAAAAGCTGGCCCTGCCTGTGTCTCAGACATCCCATGAGTGTATTAAAAAAACACTACAGGTCCATTGCAATCAGTCCAGGGATTAGCGGTGTATCAGTCAGGGAGACACATAAATGTTAGTCAGCAAACCAGTCACTCAACAGTCGGGGCAATGTGAACTAACTCTGCAGAGGCCACTATCCTGTCATCAAGTCATGCTTGGTACTTGACACAGGTCTGGCTTCCTCAGAGTGAACAGAATCACTGACACTCCTGTTTATACCTCTCAGCCAGGGCTCTCTGATTGGACCAGGTCAACAGCCCCAATCAGGGAATTCATTCTGTGACGTTCACCTGACTGACCTCATTACAATCACTATCTGTTCCCCTCTAAGCCTGTTCTTTTTCTTGTAGCTTTTCCTGGGCCATTTGTGCACCAGGTCTGGTACCTCCAACTCAGCTTTGGATACTAGTAGTTTGTGCCAGAATGTAATCTGCCTCTTGTGCCTGGAGCGTCTCGGAAGAGATTCATCCTCTTCTTCAGATGTAAAGGCATCGAGCCTGTGACATCCGCCGTGTCCATCTCAGACTCCAAGGTTTCTTCAACACTGGATGGAGGAGAAGAACCACGGGTCCCAACAGCCTTTTGGACTGTTCTGAAGGGCTGGGTGTGTTTTTCTCCTGCCCCATTTGCGAGTTTTCAGCTTTCATGTGGTTTGCGTGCTTGGTAAAGACTGACTCACCTCCCTGAACTCTATACGTCAAGGGACCTGACCTTATGTCGACCATGCTTCTTACCCAGCAGGGCCATTTCCATGGTTTTGGCACCAAACTTCGTCCTCTGAAGTAAATGTCTGTCTCACTTAGTGGAGTTTCCTGTGTCCGGCATTGGTGTTCCTGAAGCCGTTTTGAACCAGAAAGGTTTCAGTTCTGGTAATGATGGCCCTTTAGTTTCCCCCATCACCACCAACTGTTTTAGTTTTGCCAGGACTGGATCTTCTGGTGTCCACAGTCTGATATTGTTAGTGGTGACTGGGAGGGTGTCCAGAAAGTTTAAAATGAGAATAGACTCTTCCAGTGACGGTACCACTGGTGGTGTATCTGCTAGTGGGAGGTGGCTCATGGCATCTGCACTTGCTACTTGGCTTCCTGGACAGTGTTCCAGCTTGTAACTCTACATATTTAGAATGAGAGCCCACCGCTGAATTCGACCTGAAGCTATGGGTGACATGACCTTAACCTCTTTGAGTAGCCCAAGCAGGGATTTGTGGTGTGTTACTATTACAAATTTATGTCAGTAAAGGTATTGGTGGAACTTCCTCACACCAGAGATGTCTGCCAAACTCTCCTCCTCTATCTAGGCACATTTGCGCACTGCTTCGGCCAAAGTCCAGGAAGCATACCTTCTTGGCCATTCCTCTCCATTGGGTCATCTGTGAAGCAACACTATCTCGATACCATACAATGGGACATTGCATGTCAATATCAGACCTTGCTTGGGATCATTATTAGATGATGATAGCTGCTTCTTCACTTCCCTAAAGGCTATACCTTGGCTATGAAACCATCTCCAAGAACCTTTCTCAAAAGCAGATGTAAAGGTGCTAGGATGGAGGCCAGGTTACGTATGAACTTTCCATAATAATTCACCAATCCAAGGAAAGACCTAAGCTCCAGCACAGACGTGGGAGCCTAGGCACCTTTGATCGCCCTCACTTCATCTTCCAATGGATGTAAGTTGGTCTTTTCCATTCTACAGCCCAAGTAGGTCACTTGGGGTAGGAGCAAATTACTGCAGACGCTAGAATCTGTGCTAAAAACAACAAATGCTGGAGATCACAGCAGGCCAGACAGCATCCATGGAGAGAGAGTAAGCTAACATTTCGAGTTGAGGTGACTCTTCAGAGCTGAAGTGAAGTGTGGAGGGGGCAGCCTTTATGCTATAGTTGGAGAGGGGTGTAGAGTGCTGGTGGAGAAAAGATGTTGATAGTTCAGATTAAGTGATCGGAATGTGAGGATGACAGAACAATGGTGTGTCTGACTGCTAGACTTGAAACACAGAATGTCCCACTGGAGTGGGGGAGAGGGGAGAGAGGACATGGTGATAGAGAATGTAACAAGTAAAGCTAAAAAGAAAGGAAAGAAATGGAAGAATGTGACAAGTCATGGTAAAATTAAGGAAAGAAATGGGAGTTAGTTCACAATTTGAAGGTGTTGAACTCAATATTAAGTCCAGAAGGCTGTAAAGTGCCTAGTCTGAAGATGAGATAACACAGTGTGGAGCTGGAGGAACACAGCAGACCAGGTAGCATTAGAGGAGCAGGAAAGTTGATGTTTCGGGTCAGGACCCTTCAGAAAAAGATGAGATGTTGTTCCTCCAGTTTGCGCTGTGATTCACTGGAGCACTGCAGCATGCTGAGGACAGACAAGCGGACATGCAAACAGGATGCTGTGTTAAAATGACTGGCTGTGGGAAGTTTGGGGTCATGCTTGCGCACAGACTGGAAGTGTTCTGCAAATTGGTCAGCCAGTCTGCATTTACTTTCTCCAATGTAGACTAGGCCACATTGAGTGCAGCGAATACAATACTCACAAGATTGGAGGAGGTACAGGTGAAATGCTCCTTCATGTGGAAAGACTGTTTAGGCCCTTGGATGCTGAGCAGGGAGGACGTGAAAGGGCAGGTGTTGAACCTTCTGTGGTTACATCCACACTTCACTTCAGCTCTGGCGAAGAGTCATCTAGACTCGAAACATTAGCTTGCTCTCTCTCCATGGATGCTGTCTGACCTGCTGTGATCTCAGCATTTGTTATTTTCAGTACATCACTTGGGGTGCTTGGAACACAGATTTTTCCCTTCTAAGGCATATGGCAAGCTTGGAGAAACCTCTAAGGAATATGTCCAAGTTCTCTAAGTGCTTTTTATTGGCCTTCCCTTTTATTAGAACGTCATCCAGATAAATGGCGATCTGGGGTAAACTTTGTAAAATGTTCTTCATTGTCCGCCGAAAAATGGCACAGGCTGATGATGCCTCAAATAGCAATCTCGTATATTGGTACAAACACTTATGGGTATTAATTGTAGCATATGTCTGGGAATCCTTATCTAACTGCAATTGCAGGAACGCATGGCTCATATCCAGCTTTGTGAAGGACAGGCCGTCCTCCAGCATTGCGTACAAGTCCTTTATGTGAGGGATTGGGTATTTATTCAGCTGCGAGAAGCAGTTTACCGTTTGTTTAAAATCCTCACAAAAGCAAACCCATCAGGCTTCACATTCAGTACGACTGGTACTGCCCATTCCGCAAACTGGACTGTTTTGATGATTTCTTTGCTTTCCAGCCTTCTGATTTCTGCCTCTATTTTTGCATGTAAGGCACAGGGTGGACCTTGCAGAATCGTGGAATCGCTCACTGGTCAACTTGCAAGGTGGCCTTGGCTCCTTCGATGGTCCCTAGACCTTCCTGAAAAACGTCTGGATATTTAATTATAACTTCACTCAGGCACCCGTTTTCTAATTGAAAAAAGTTGAGCAATCTAGGTGAATCTTTATCAACCAATTTCACCCCATCAGACTTGGGCTTGAGCCTTTTACTACAATCAGTTGGAACTGAACCAGCTGGTTCTCATAAAAGACTGGAACTGAAGTTGTACCCTTAATCTATAAAGGTTCCCTGGTGTATGTTCTCAGTCTAGCTGAGGTCTTGCACAAACTTAAGGATTTGAGTCCAGAGTGAATTTTATTAAAGACTAGCTCTGCAGTCACTGATACTGCCGTGCCAGTATCAACCTCCATTACAGCTGGGTGACCATTAAACCAGATGTTTATTTTGATTGATTCTGATTTGAATGTTGCTAAGCAATTTAACTATTCCAAGCAAGGTGGATCTGGTGAATGTGGTATATCTAGACTTGCAGAAGGCTTGCAACATGAAAGACTGATCCAGAAATTAGATTCCAGGGGGTTAAGGGTAAGAGTATTGGCTTGGACAGAGGATTGGCTGATGATAGAAAGCAGAGGGTCAGGATAAATGGGTCGTTCTCTGGATGGCGAACTGTAACTAGTGGGGTGCTGCAAGGTTCAGTTGTCAGGCCTCAACTATTTACAATCTGTATAAATGATCTGCAAGCAGGAACAGAGTGTAACATAGCCAAGTTCATGGATGATATTAAAATAGGTGGGAAAATAGGCAGTGATGAGGAGTGGAAGAGCTTACAGATGGATATGAATAGGCTAAGAGAATGGGCCAGAATCTGGCAGATGGCGTTCAATGTGGACAAGTGCAAGATTGTCCAATTTGGCCAGAAAATAAATGGGGAAATTATTATTTGAATGGGAAACCGATTCAAAGTGCTTCAGTGTGGAGGGATTTGGACATTTTTGTGCATGAATCACAGAAAGTGCAAGTGCAGGGTATGCAGGTGCAGCATATATTAAGAAAGGCAAATGGAATCCTGGGATTTATTGGAAAAGGACTGGATTATAAAAGTAGTGTTGTTACAATTATATAAGGCGTTGGTGAGACCACACCTAGAACACAGTGTCCACTTTTGGTCTCCTTACGTGAGGAAGGATCATGGTGGATCTGGAGGTAGTTCAGAGGAGGTTCACAAGGTTGATTCTAGGTTGTAAAATGGCTGTTGTATGAGGAGTGATTGAAAAGCTCAGGCTTGTACTCGCTGGAGTTCAGAAGAATGAGGATCGATCAGATTGAGGTGTATAAAATGCTAAAGGAGACTGATGACGTGGACATTAAACGGATATTCCCCATTGTTGGACAGTCTTGAACAAGAGTTCATAGATATAGAATGAGAGGAGGTAGATTCAAAGCTGAGATGAGGAGTCAGAGGGTTGTGAATCTTGAATTTCCTGCCCCTCCGGTGCAGTGGAGGCAGAATCAATCAACAGATTCAAGAAAGAAATAGATATGTTTCTGATGAAAAGCAAGATAAAGGGCTGTGGAGAGCAGACAGGAAAGTGGAGTTGAACAAAAGAACAAAAGAGAAGTAGAGGCTCTTTGACCCTCCAAGCCTGTGCTGATCATCATGCCCTGACTAAACTAAAAAACAAACCTTTCTGCCCTTACTCGGTCCATATCCCTCTATTTCCCTCCCTATTCATGTAACCATCCAGATGCCTCTTAAATGTTGTCAACATGCCTGCTTCCACCACCACCTGTGGCAGTGCATTCCAGGCTCATCCCACTTTCCTCACACGTCTTCCTTAAACTTTTGCCTTCTCACCTTGAACCTGTGCCCTTTGTAATTGAAACTTCAACCCTGGGAAAAAACCTCTGACTATCCACCCTATCTAAGCCTCTCATAATTTTGTAGACCTCTATCAGGTCTCCTCTCAGCTGCCATCTTTCCAGTGAAAACAATCCTAGTCTTTTTAACCTTTCCTAATAGCCAATGTCCTAGAGACCGGGCAACATCCTAGTGAACCTTCTCTGCACACTCTTCATAGCTTCCACATCCTTCTGGTAATGTGGTGACCAAAACTGCGCACACAGTACTCCAGATGCAGCCTAACAAGGGTTTTAAATAGCTGCAATATGTTTTGCCAACTCTTGTACTCCATGCCTTGGCCGATGAAGGCAAGCATGCCATATGCCTTCTACATCACCTTGGCCACCTGTGTTGCTACTTTTAGGGAACTGTGGACCTGCACGCCCAGATCTGTCTGTATGTCAATGTTCCTAAGGGTTCTTAATTTACAGTATAATTCACACCTAAATTTGACCCTCCAACCTATATCACCTCTCATTTGAGACCAGGATAAGACTAGACATGATCATGTTAAATGGCAGAGAGGGCTTGAAGGACCGAATTGCCTACTCCTGATCCTAATTCCTATGTTCCTATCTTCCTATGTAACTGATTAAAGCTCATGGAGAGAAATCTCAATAAACCTCTCAAACTTGACTGCTTAGTCAATTTTTATTAAAATTCAGCCCACTATCTAATAGGTGTCTACTTCCTAAGCTTTTGTATGGATTGGAACAAATTAAAAGAAACTCCTTATAAGAAATGTAGTAAATAAAATCCCTTATTTTCCATTTGAAGAGTCAAATCTATTTTATCACGTGTTGCCCATGAACTGTAAGAGTAGAATACTGTCACATGGAAAAGGGTTATGATGTGCGCTTGTTGCATGTTTATTTTATCGAACATTGGTATTAACTGAAAGTTTGTTTCCTTATAGTTTCAGACAAGGGTTAATGCAGTGGAAGAGGAGAAGGTATTGCTTATCATTAAGAATACCAAAACACATAGTAAAAGCTGTAAACATTTTTCACATAAATGGTTATTATGTCTTTTGTTGTTTCTATTACTATTGTAATTATTATTTCAGTTCTGTGATGTTTTTAAATGTAACTGGTTTCGCAGAATTAATTTTCTGTACCTTAATCTCATAAGGACACTTGGGCTAAGTTGTTGCTATCAGTAATTTTGCAAAAATTACGTTAATGGAAGGGGGCATCCTAACTTACCTTTTCAGAATAAATAGAGTCAACTCCCTTTATAATACTGATGTGTTCCAGTTTTCCACAAAATTGATGGCTCATTGCTAATGTATAACACAAAGCACCTTGTTCTCTCATTAGCTTTCAGTTATATTTCTGAACATGGTGCTTTTAAAGGGTATAACTGTACCTTCAAACAAAAATCATTACACATCTAAAGAGATAAATGTCAATTTTGTTCAGTTCTAAAATAAATGAAGTTCCTTTTATTTTGTGTGTATTAATCGTGCTAATCTCTGTATTTAGAAGTCTGAACATGCACTGAATAATTGTGATAATTATACTGTTCTACGTAGGGAAAGTTCCAACTTAGCACAGAGACAAAAGAAAGAGAAATCAATAGACTGAAGGAGGAATTGAAAGGACTGCAGGTAATGGATCAGTATTTTATATAATGTGGTCAGTGAAAATGTTAAATAGGGATGTACACAGCCTGATCTAACCTGGTTTCATAATTTCAATAGTTAAATTAACTGCTTGACATTGATCATGGAATTTGGTGTTTTTTTTCCAGTAAATTTGAAAAGCTATTTAATGTTTGAAGGAAATCCTGTTATTTTATGCCTCCTAAACTGAAATTGTTAATATTGTTAATCCAGCAGCTATTTCTGCATATTTAATAATTGCCAGTAATTTGCTAATATAGAACTCTGATTTACAATTAAGAAAGCTCTATAGTAAACCAGAGGCTTATTTTTATTACGCAAATATTACAAAGATGCTCATATCCAATATATGGCATTAAACTATATGATCGTGTGGCATATTGTCTGTGAGGAGTGTGCAATACATTGTAAATTTATCACATAGTCTTGACAGCATTTGTGACTTATTCCTGTGTAAACAGATTGAGCATAGCTTGGATGGATTAATTGCAGCAAATCATAGTAACTGTTTTCCAAATTATTGGGTGTGCATGTAAATTAACAGATTAATAATCATGTCTTTATATTTCATACTTTTTAAATGCATTTTGATTTACAAATAATGTCGTAACCATTGCTACTGCATTAATATGACTCAGATTGAGAAGGAATTTAATCATATATTAGTTACAAAGTCTAAGAAATACTTATTTGTAGGTTTTTTTCATGGGAATAGATTCATTCTGAATAAAATTCTAATTCTTTTAAGTACATTAAGTGTAGAAAAAGTGCTTTTGTAAATAGATTACCTGGGTAATTCGACAGCTGATTCTCAAAAGAGCAGCTTCCAAAATGAAGTCAATGACTGGAACGCCTGCAATAACTCTTAGACGGGGTGCTGCTGACCTCATAAGTGCAGGCAAATATCATACTGTGTTATCTATATAGGTCTCACTGTCATTTAATGTAAAAATTCCATTATCTCACTTAGAGAAGGCCAAGAGTTCTTTTGATTGCGCTACAGTACCTATGTGTCATGTGCAGCAGAGCATGTTAAATCCTATACATCACCTATGCTATGTCACAGATTGAACAAGCCAAACAAATCCTTGTAGCTACAGCGCAAAAGGTCAGACATGAGGAGGCATTTTGTTGGTTTTGATAGCTCACCCTAGATTAACTAGATGATTAAAACAAGTAAATGGTGACACAAATAACAAACTACTCTCTTTATGCAGTAATTTTAATTAGGTCTGAGTATGGAAAATATAAAATGGAATACTGAAGCTGTAAATATAAAGTGTTTTGTGATATGTTGCAGTGAAGAAAACATTACAATGCAGTTCAGAAAATAAGCTGGCTGAGGATCAAGCTTCATGAGGCATTTTAAACTGAAACAGTCTGTTCAAAAGGATCTTACATGACAGGATTGCAAGGCTGTTGAAGATTCTGTTGCAATCACTTTGTGTCTGACAGTAGAAAACCAGAAAGTATAAATAATGTTTATAATATTTACTTTTAATGATGCTTTATAAAAATAAAATTAGGAACAAAGTGAGAGAAATCAATCCAAATAATGAATAGTCCTACTAAGTTGTCTTCCTTCGTTGAAGTATGTTAGAGCAGTGCCTTTAAAAGGGACAAGTGAAGTTTTGTAGCAGGCACATTAAGTATCACTCAACATATAGAAGACTAACAGACCTGGCAATTGAATGCTGTTTTCATGCACTGATATTTTGATCTTGATGTGTTGATTATCTTATTTATCACTTCTTAAAAAGATATTGTGAGAAGTAAGAAAATTATGATTGCACATGTTTTTAAAGTGGTTCTATGGAGGAGGATTTGACAATCATTCTTCTTTGTTTCAGACTCCCATTTTTAATCTCTGAAGTTATTTACAGTTTATATATCCCTTCATAGGTTTCCAAGTACAGTCTAGAAAAAAAACTAAGTGAACTGGTAAGGACTTATTTTGCTATCCAGTCCATTGTCGGGAACGATGGGTAAGACAGCAATATAGGCACATGGAGGGTTGGGTCAGTGGTAATAAGAGTGACTTCTTGAGCATTGCAGGCGAGATTGAATGTCAGCTATCACACTGTTAAATTTATTTTAGGTAGTAACTGCTGGGAAAACTTATGCAAATCTGTATACTGGAATCTACACCATTGAAATATAATGTTGTATGATTTTTAATTTACAGGAGTGGAATAAGCTAAATTGTTACTGCATGTTGCACATACTCTCATCTCCCTCATCCACAGCCTGAAATTGCTGAAACATTTTTAACTGTTTCAGTGCTATGATCCTTTCTTCATTGAAAGCATTCTCTTCAAATTGTTTGTTTGTCATTAATACTCTTGCATGTTTAATTTTTTCCTTCAGAGACATTTTTAGTGGTGGCATGGTGGGTCAGTGGTTAGCACTGCTGCCTCACAGCACCAGTACTCCTCCAAATCTAGCCTTTTCAGAATTGCCCGTTTTTATCCTGCACCATTGGTGGCATGTCTTGAGCTACCTTGGGCCCTGAGCACTGGAATTTTCTCCTTTAAACCTTTCTGTCTCTCTTTTTCCTCCTTTTAAGATGCTCCTTAAAACCTTCCTGGCATGTTTTGGGTCGCCAACCCTAATCTCTTTGTAATATCAGTGTTAGATTTAGTTTTATATTTTCCCCTGTGAGGCTCGTTATGATGCTTTATCATTTTAAAAGATCTATATGCAATTGCAAAAGTTTGCAATATTGGAGTATGTACCAACACCAGTTAGACTGCACTGGTTCAAAAAGAAGGCTCAGCACCAGCTTTACTTAGAAGGGCATATAGGAATGAGTAACAGCTATTGGCCTTGTCAGCAATGCTGACAACCGATGAGAAAAATGCGGCCAAATTTGTAATATGCAAAGGCAAGTAAAGAACAGTGTACTGAAATCCATAATGATCGTACAGATGAGCCAGGTTCTGTATGTTTGCAGATGATGCTGAACTTTATCCTTCCTCTTTTTTCCCCAGGCTGTTGTCTCACTATAGTCTATCCAGCAATAAGTTTTGAGAAGACTAGAATTTCCTCCATCCTGAAGTAGGCAAAGCTAAAACTATTTCCTTTAGCTCCCAATGCACCTAACCTCATAACTATCAGCTGTTAACTGAGAATAAGTGAAGTAGTGTGAAATTTTGACATGGTAGTTGATGTGTACTATTTTCTTTCCACAATGCTAAGATTGCCCTCTTCCATCATGCAACTGGTTAGGATAAGCTGCCTGAAAGGATGGTAGAGCAAACCCCATCAAGGATTTCAGAAAGGAACTGGATATGTACTTGATGGAGAGAGAAAAAATCAGTGCTACTGGGAAAGTACTTGGATGTGGGCCTAACTAAATTACTGCTGCAGAGAAACAGCATGGAGTCAATGAGATGAATGGCCTCCTCCTGTGCTGTAATCATTTGTGATTCAATGAAAACATTGCCCCATCTTTACCTTAATATTTGGAAACTTTTTGCTAAGTTTTGAACCAACTATCCTCTCTGCACAAAGATGAGTTGCTGCTTTCAAAGGCCTCTAAGATATGACCCTATCCAAGCTCAGCTTAGTAACACTTCTACTTAAATGAAATATCTGTATTATTTTTATAATGAATTAGAAACAATATTTTTGTATATTTTTCACCCTTGTTATTCAGGAACAAAAGGTACAGTTGCAGACTGTTGCTAAGGATAATCAGCTCAGTCAACTGAGTGAAGTGGAGAAACGTTTTGCAGCTATAAGTCGCCAGTGTGGGTTGGTCAAGCAGGCTCATGAGAAACTAGAACAGAATGGTCAGTAGAATTTGCAAACCAAGATCGTAACTCAATTAGTGAAATAAAAATAAAATGCCACTTTTCAAGGTCAGTTAGAATGTAGGAGTTGGCAATGAGAAAAGGCAATTCAGCTAATCTGGAACATTTGAGGGTGAAATTTCTGATGATGCACAGTGTGTTAAATGGAAGTTAAATTATTTCCATTTTTTTTCCATTACAACATCAAAGAGAATTAACATTATTCTCCACTTGGAGGTTTGGCCACATTAGCATGCACTGTCAAAAACACATCAGTGAACAAGAGGCATTGAACAAATATTTTATGTATCTCTTCAGAATGGAAGATGCGTTTCAAACTCAAAGTTTATCTACTATGAAATGACATGGTGCATCGGCAGCAGAAACATATCAACCACAAACTATAACCTCGCAGCCTGGGTTATTCCCCACTCCATCATTATCATCAAGACAGAGGATAAACCCTGATTGAAAGATGAGTGCAGGAGAGGTGTCCAAGAGCAGTACCAGACATACCTAAAAATGAGGTGACAACTTTGTGAAGCTACAGCACTGGATTATTTGTATGCCAAATAGCATAAGCAGCGTGTGATGGGTAGAATAAGAATTAGCTTTATTGTCACATGTACTCAAAATGAGTATAGTGAAAAATTTACAAGTTGCCACTTATGGCACCATCTTAGGTCCTAGGTACAGATCCTTAAGCACAAATTTCTTCGGGAAAAAAAATTATAAAAATAAAGAAACAAAAGTCCAGCATTACAGCTCATAGAAATAAATTTGAAAAATAAAGAAATAAAAGCATCGAGTGATCCCACAACCAACAGTTCAGATCTGATGCCTGCAGTCCTGCCATGAATGGTGGGTGGACAATTAGACAATCAGCAGAAAGAGCAGGCTGCACAAGTATATTAATCCTTAATGATGAGCCCAGCACATTTGTGCAGGGGACCAGGCAGAAACATTTCGAACCATCTTCAGCCTGAAATGCTAAGTGGTTAATGGATCCGAGCCTCTTTCTGAGATCGCCAGTAGCACAGATGCCAGTCTTCAGCCAATTTGATTCAGACCACAGAGTATCCAAGAAGCCACCGAAAGCACTGGATGTTAGAAAGATGCATGGGCGTGACAGCATTCCTGTCATGGAACATTACTTAAAACGTGTATTCTATAATTACCAGAAACAAGCTGTTCCAATACAGCCACAACAGTACAGTGTTATGGTTGGTTGGCTCACCGAGCTGATTCGTTGTTCTCCAAACGTTTCATTACCCTGCTGGGTAACATCATCAGTGCAGCCTCCGATGAAGCTTCATTGGAGGCTGCACAAATGATGTTACCCAGCAGGGTAATGAAACGTCTGCGGATCAACGAGCCAACCAACCACAACATCCATAACCCGAGCTACAAATCTAGTCTAAAACCTTAGATAACAGTACAATGTGTAAAATTGTTCAGCTATGTGCTTTCCACAGAACGGAGGACAAATCCAACTGGGCCCACTTACTGCCCCATCAGGCTACTTTCACCCATCACCTAAGTGATCGTTGCTTTCGTTGACCATGCTATTTCGTAAGACTTCCTCAGCAATGACCTGCTCATGGATGCTCAGTTTGGGTTCCACCAAGGCCAATCAGCTCATTAGCTCATTACAGCATTGGTGCAAACATGAACAACAGAGCTGAACTCAAATGGTGAGTTGGGAGTGACTGCATTTGACATCAAGGCAGCATGTGACCCAGCATGGCATCAGGGATAAACTCTCTGTTGCATTGAGTCAAACCTAGCAAAAGGAAGATGGTTGTGGTTATTGCTGATCAATCATCTCAATCATGGAGCATCACTGCACACGTTGCCGGGTAGACTCCTGGACCAACCACCTTCAGTTGCTTCATCATTGTTAAGGTCATAAGATAAGTGATGATAATGTTTCATGATTGCATAACTACCATCCCTGACTCCTCAGATAATCCACCAAGGGAGAACCTAACCATCTGCCCTTTGCATTAAATGGGCATTACCACTGCTGAAAACATCTTTGTCAGCATCTTGGGGGTTACCATTGACTAGAAAGTAACTGAATTAGCCATATATAATTGTGGCTACAACAGCAGGTCACATTGTTAGTAATTCTGTGGTGAGTAACACACCACCTGATTCTAAAAGCCAGTCCACTGTGTACAAAGCACAAGTCAGGAGTATGGTTGTATATTTTCCACTTGCCCAGATGAATGCAGCTGTAACACAATCTCGAAGTATCATCAACCACCCTCAGCTTATACTGCCACCACCACTGACGCACTGTGGCAGCAGAGTGTGCCATCTACAAGATGCTCTGCAGCGACTCACCACAGCACCTTCCAAACCCCTGACCACTACTAGCTAGAAGGACAAGGGCAGCAGATGCATGGGAATGCCACCACCTGAAAATTCCCTTTGAAGTCACATGCCATCATGACTTGGAAATATATCACCATTCCTTCAGTATCAGTGGGCCAAAATTGTGGAACTAACTTCCTAATGGCACTGTCGGTGTACCTAGCCTCTTAGCAATGGTTCAACAAAGTAACTTGCTACCACCTTATCCAGGCCAATTAGAAAAAGATACTAAATACTGGCCTAGCCAGTGATGCCCATGTTGGGTGAATGAAAAGAAAATGTTTGGACAGTAATCCTAAGCTCAAAAAGAGTGAGGAAATTAAAGAAGTTACTATCAGCAGAGATAAAGTATTGGAGAACCTTAAGGGACTGAAATCTGACAAATCCCCAGGACCTAAATGATCTCCATCTAAGGGTTATAAAAGAGATAGCTATAGCGATGGTGAATGTAGCTATGATTTTCCAGAACTTGTTAGATTCAGGAACAGATCCATTAGGTTGAAAGTTAGCAAGAATTAAACTGCTTTTTAAGAATGGAGGCAAGAAGAAAACAGTGAGCTATGACCCAGTTAGCCTAACATCATTTGTCACTAACAATACACTTAGAAAAGCACAGTACAATTTGAACAACTGAACATGATTTTACTGAAGAAAATCTTGTTTGACAAATTTATTAGCATTCTTTGAATATGTGACTAGAAAGTTAGATAAAGGGGAATTAGTAGATGTTGTGTCCCTGATTTTTCAAAAGACATTTGATAACTTGCCACTAAAAAGGTTAGTAGCTAAGATAAGGGCTTATGGAATTGCTGGTGATATATTAGCATGGATTGAGGATGGATTAATGGCCAGGAAGCAAAGAATGGGCATAAACGAGGCATTTTTATGTCAGCAAATAGTGGAGTGCGACAAGGATCAGTGCTGGGGTCTCAGCTATTTAAAAAGGACCTCAGGGGCAACCTTTTCACACAGATGGTGATACGTGTATGGAATGAGCTGCCAGAGGAAGTGTTAGAAGTTAGTACAATTACAACATTTAAAAGGCATCTGGATGGGTATATGCAAAGGAAGGGTTTAGAGGATATGGGCTAAATGCTGGCAAATGGGACTAGATTTACTTAGGAAATCTGGTTGGCATAGATGAGTTGGACCGAAGTGTCTGTTTCTGTGCTGTATATCTCTATGGCTCTATGTTATCTACGATTACAAAGAGATCTTGATCAATTAGGTCAATGGGCTGAGGAGTGACAGGTAGAGTTTAATTTGGATAAATGCGAGGTATTGCATTTTGGTAAAACAAATAAGGGCAGGACTTATACAATTAATGGTAGGGCTCTGGGTAGTGTTGTAGAACAGAGAGACTTAGGGGTTCAGGTACATAATTCTTTGAAATTTGCGTCACAGGTAGACAAGTTGTTTAAGAAAGTATTTAGCACGCTTGCCTTCATTGCTCAGACCTTTGAGCAAAGGAGTCGGGATACCATGTTGAAGTTATGCAGAACATTGGTGAGATCTGTTCTGAAATATTGTGTGTAGTACTGGTCGCCCTGCTATAGGAAGGATATTATTAAATTGGAGAGGGTACAGAAAAGATTTACCACCATGTAGCCAGGAACGGAGAGTTTGTATTATAAAAATAGGCTGGATAGGCTGGGATTTTTTTCACTGGAGCGTAGGAGGTTGAGGGGTGACCTTATATAGGTTTATAAAATCATGAGGGGCATAGATAAGGTGAATAGGAAGGGCCTTTTCCCTAGGGTGGGGGAGTTCTAAACTGGGGGGAATGTATATAAGGTGAGAGGAGGAAATTTTAAAAAGGATGTGAGGGGCAACGTTTTTACCCAGAAAGTTGTTCATGTGTGGAATGAACTGCCAGAGGAAGCAGTGAATGCAGATGTAGTTACAACATTTAAAAGACAATTAGATAAATATATGAATAGGAAGAGTTTAGAGAGGTATGGGCCAACTGCTGGCAAATGGGACTAGGTCAGATTGGAATGTCTGGTCAGTGTAGACTAGTTGGGCCAAGGGTATGACTCTGTAACTCTCTAAATATATCTGGAGTATTCTGCTGAATCACCAGTGGTCAGGTGGTAATGTTTAAGACCATAAGACAGGTGAACATCTAAATGAAAGGTTTGGGCGAGAAACTGTGGAAACTCAGTACTGATGAAACAGAATATCTCAGAAGCAGAAGTAATCACAAACGACTTTGAAAGTGTCGCCCATGGACCTCTTCATTAAAATAATGAAGATCCCATACGCTGCATAAGGGCATGAAACTAAATTCCTGTCATCTTTAACTGTAAGTAATTACCAACATGCTCTTATGTGCAGTGCTGCCTTTCTTGGATGATGTGTGGGACATCAGTATTCACGTAGCATTTGCAAGCTCCCACTGCATTTGTGTTACACGAATTGTGCTGCATTTATGTGACTCTGGTCTCCTTGGTCAAATGTCCATGTAGAGGCATTCCATGACCCTTCTGTCAGAGTCTTCCATGTGCTACTGTATGGATGACAATCCTAAACAGACATGGGCTGATGCCATGGCTGATGCCATACAGTCATGGTTACTGGAAGACAACCATGGCTAATCGCTCCATTTTGCAACCTCCTGTCAAAGAACAGACATAGATTCACTGTTGCCCATTTGTCAACTAGGGCCACGTTGAAGCATATGTTAGATATGCTGATGTTGGGATTCTGATGCTTGGATCTGTCTGGGGGCGGTGGCCTGGCAATACTCTTCAGGCTAAAGTGTGTCATGTAATCCTTACATTCTGCGCTCTGCACAGCTGTAACAGGTGAAAAGAAGATGTGATGGATGCCAAAGAACTGGGAGAGTGGCAGCTGTCTTCCTAGGAGGAGGATAAGGACTTTGAGCAGGAGGAACATCACCACTTGCGTTGATAGAACTCTACACTTTCAGCTACAGCAATCCAGCCAGGACTTAATTGATATGTGGTTCTAACAGAAGTGAGCTAGTTGGAGTGAACACTCCTTGCTTGTAAATTTGTTGCTGCTCAAAAGGCAAACATTCCCAGAAACAAATGCAATCTTTTTTGTTTTCTTTGCTTTGGTATTGCTGAATAAAAATGAACACACTCGGCCTTTTTGAAGGCTTTCCAGTATGTGATGGTCCCATATTGAACAATGAGGAAGTTTAGGCTACATTGAGCAAAAGGGAAAGACTGAACCTCTGCTAGATGGAAGCTATTACCAGGCACATATCTGGCCTTTAAAACATCACCGGTGCCAAGAGCTCCCAGTAGTGTCGAGTCTTTCCATCTCTGATGAGAGGGAAGGTGGGCAGAGTGGTAAATCATACACGTGGAGCATAGCAAATCTGATGAGTTGTGGAAAAAAATGTGAAAAAACCCGCCAGGACTCACTGAGAGAAAACCTCCATGAGACTCATAAAAATTCACACCACCAGTTTCTGGTAAAATTCAGCCCTGTATCTCCTGTCTCACCTAAAGACCAAGCAATGATGCTGGCACTTGTAACAACTCGAGGCTTATATTTCAAATTAATAAGATAAAATGGAAGTGTGGGGAGGATGAGGGGTTAACTCTTTTGGCTAGAAAGCCAGCATAGCATTCAAATTAACACCAAAAAACATAGGGTTCAGTCCTGATTCCAGGCAAGGCTGACTGGGGGCCTGCCTTCACACCATGCCCATCAACAGATCACAGCAATTATCCATGTTGCAACAAATAATCATCTTTCCAGCTTTCAAGCATGAAACTCAAGAAGAAGAGAATATTTTCTGTCATGAACACAAGTCTCTGAATTTTCTGCAGGGGATGTTTTAAAATTATTTAGATCAGGATGGAGAGTGGGTTAGTATAATCAAACTGTATTTTTCCTAGACTCAATTTAGATTGTTTTGCAATAGAATATCATTTTACTAAGCTTGTATAAATATGTAATTAACATATGTGATGAAAATAGTATATTTATAGGTGAAGTATTGACACAAAATTATACTTAAAAATGGAGACTTCCTTTTAGATCATGTAGCTCAAACCTTTTATTTAAAGTGATTTTTAGAAAACTGTTTTGTGTTATAGTGGATGAAGCAGCAAGATTGAATAAAAAGCTTATGACAGCGAATAAAGATCAGGAGAATATCATACATGACCTGAAACAGGTACTTTGGAAATCTTAAGGAAGGATTAATAATGCTGCATCTTTTGAAGTTTTAGAATGCATTTGAATGAAAATTGCTGTGGTGTGTTTTTAAATGTTTTTTTTTGGTAGCGATTCTTTTCTGTATAATAACATGTTGAAACTTCTAATTATTTTAGAATTTGGCTATGGATTTGCAACAAATAACTTCCAGACGAAGTCTTTGCAAGTAATTTACAATGTGTACAAATAATGTTTGAGAATTTTTTACTGTAGCAGTAACATTCTTGAATTAAGTGGCAATGATAGTTACTCCATTCTGAGTAGGAAGTGTTGCTGCATTTAGAAAACTGAATTGTGGTTTTGTGCATGTACCCTCGGCCTTCTAAGAACTTTCCTTGTTTCCTGACTTTTACTCTGCAACTTATTTTCTTCTTTTTGCTTTATGTCTCCTTGTTCACTGATTGAAATATTCTGTTACTTGGTCTCTCAGGGAATGCTATAAATTAGCCACTGATTGGCATGGCATAGGAACATAGGTTATCTGGTATGAAGAATCACTTTGGCACAGTGTGTCAATATGATAATCCATCAAGTCACTATTCATGCATATGTTTGATATATTTTGACTGTTGCACAATAAATTTAAGTCCCAAAGGATTTTGACAACAAAAAATAATGTTAAGTAACCGAGATTTAATTGTTTGATGTTCCTTACAGTTGCTTTATATACTGTACTTGTCCTGTGAACCTGGTGTTGATATTTCCAAGGGCATTCCAGAATAGTTGCTTCTCAGATACTGATCATTATTATAGTAAATTGTCCAGCACTTTGCTGAATCAAGAAGATAACATCAGCTGAACATTCAGAAAACTCATCAGATGAAGCAGCATCTCTGGAGAGGGTAAACAAGTTTAAAGTTTTGATGCAACACTTCCATCACTGATAAGGTAGAAACTGGAGAAACATTTGAGTAAAATGCACTGATGGCAGAGGAAGTATAACTGTAGAATGACCTGAGGTCTGCGATAAAGAAAAAGATGGTTAGGTGGTTGACATACAAGAAGAGGGAGGACTGGCTTTTCCAAAAACTCACTGGATTCTTTGTGATTCCCACAGAAAGAGGGACAGAAGATGATTCTGCCTCCTTTCTCTGTTGAATGAATACATTAATATATTATATATGAAGTTTTCTAAATATTATGATCTCCATAGACAACCCGTAACCAAAATAGTCAAATTTATCAAATGACCCCCAAAGAAATTACCAACAAAATTTGTTCTTGTAACTTGTAATTTAACAAGAATCAGAATCAACATAAAACATATATGAATTAACAGACAATTTTCCAAATAAGAAATAAATTTCACTTTAAATTGAATTCGTCAAGAAAGATACACTTAACGCAACCACAAACATTTGCAACACACATTGCACAAATGTGGCACTATATAGTTACACCATTCCACTTTCTGTGGAACTTCATTCACATAGCACGTCATAAATCCTATTTGCCACCTATTTGCCACCAATTTTCACCTTTGTGTTTTGTAGATGCAGTTATCATGAACAAGGCAAACCTCTATGAATCATGAACCTCGCTCAAGTCACAATAGTTCTAATAGTGTAGTGTTCCTTTATAGCTAATCAATCGATAATGTTTGTATTCATGGTTTGACTTTTTCTGGGAAAATATCAGCTCATTAACATATCCAAGTTATTCACACAGCTTTCTAAACTTTAGACTTTTTTTTTTACACAGCTTACATATTGCCATGAAGAGCTTCTGTTTCCATTACTGCCAAGCAGAAAATCTGACCTCTTCTGAGAGTAATTTGCTGCTGCTTCTCACAAGAATTCTCTGTGTTCCTTTTTTTGTCTCTATTTTCTCTTTTTGAATGCATGCACGCACTGATCGCCTTCATCTTCTTGATCCTCTGCTTGTAGCGATTCTTTGTGCCAACTGCATGATTTATTTGTTAACTTCCTTCCTGTTGGAACTGCTGCTATGTCCAGAGTCATCAAATTATTAAGGGGAACTAATAGAATGAATGAAGGTAAACTGTTTCTATTGATTGAGGCATCCAGGAAGGAGAACACAGCTGAAAAAGTAGAAGTAAACCTTTAAGGAGTGGAGTTAGGATAGACTTTTACACACACAATTTAATAGAATTCTGAACTCTTTTGCAAATAGTATTTGGTGCTTAATCATTTTGAATCTAAGCTTGATAGACATTTGTTAACCAAAGGAGTTAGGTCCCAGATCCATCGTATTAGCATTATATGGTGTTGCAAGTTGCAAAATGCACTAATTCTGTGTTCCTACAATGAAATGACATGGAACAAATCATAAGACTATTCATAAAACCTCCTGTTTTTTATTTAATGCGGCCTTTACGCCTGGGAAGTAGGATTATCAATTGAAATTGAAGTAAGAGAATCTCTCAAAGCAGCATGTTTCTGCTGTGTGTCTTTAAAACTCAGAAATTAAATATCATGCTTGTGGACTGCTGTTTTTCTGTTGATATATGTTGCTGTACACAGTTATATAATCGCCTTTTCTGTCATTTAAAACTTGATCTGTTTGATGTCTCTTTTCATCCTCAAATACTATTGTTCTGTTCTATTTCAAGGAGCAGTAACTTTGGGCAAAACTCTAATATCAACGGATTCATAAATAATAAGTATAAAAATGGTAATAGTCTCATGTGCCAAATTTATTTTGGAGGCTGATTTTCTTCCCCCAAGCTCTACTTTAAATAACAAATCAGTATTTTTGAGTGCAATAATTGATTTAGCACTTGAAGTAAAGTATTATATAATTCCAGCAAATCTATGTGAAAAAGTATTTATTCTAACATGAAGATGGAACAGATGCTTTCAATCTGTGGGACAATCTAGAATTAGGCCTTATCTAGTTATTAAAAATAAATGATTGTTTTAAACTGAAATCAGGAGAGTTTTGTTCTTATTCAGGATCATGGGTCTCTGGAATTTTCTTTCTCAAAATATGGTGGAAGTGAATCTTGAAATATTTTTAAGGCAGAGTTCGATACATTGTTGATAAGGAAGGGGGTGAAAGGTTATTGGATATATGCAGGCATGGGGAGCTTAGGTTACAATTGGATCTTACTAAATGGCGAAGAAGGTTTTTGGGGTGGGGGAAAATCTGCTCCTAACTAGAATGTTCATATGTATGTCAGTTTTAAATTCAGTTAAACATCAGCATTTCAATGTTGAGAGACACCAATAATAATGGGAAATAATAGAATTTTTTGTTCTGGGCTTCATAATTATGTCACTGGTCAATATTCATACATCATAATTTTTTTTATTAGATTGTATTTTATAGTTATGCCTGTTCACATTGATTTATTAAGATTAGTACAAAATTGTGTTGTGCTGTCTGATGATCTGCAGAGATTTATATGGATATGTGAATCTTATCAGTGATAGAATCTGCATAGTTAGCTGGCAATTTGCTATAATTATAGTAATATTTTTGAGAGATGTAACAGCTGTTAAATGATTCTGTCATGTTTTTAAAAATCCTGATTTATACTCTTTGTTTAATGCAAGTATTTAGATTTGATTGTTAACTCTAAATGGTGCTAACTTAAAAGCCTAGAAATTACAATTGGTGATATTAGCAAATGATAGCTTAATATGTTCACATAATATTGCTTTCACCGCTGTTTTAGTGGAGGCTTCAGCCAATTTGAAATAAGCAATAAAATTGCCTTCTTTAAAATAGCGAAGAAAGGAAATCTCAAGCAAAGTCTGATAAATTAAAAATGATAAAACCTCACAAATTTGAACATGTTTTTAACAGAGAGAAGAGTTACTAATTTTTGAACACTTATACATTTGAGTCGGACAGCATTCTGATCAGACCCTGTAGTGTAGCTGCACTGAACTTAGCCTTGTGTTCTATGTTAAACATTTCAATTTTAAAATGTTCATCCTTCATTTTGAATCCCCGTCCAACCTGGGTACACCTTCTCGCTCTCTCTGTAATCTCCCCCAATGCTGCAAGATATCTGCTTCTTTGTTTCTAGCCTATTGGATATTCCTGATTTTAATCATTTCAGAATTGGTGGCAGCGCATTCAGCTGCTGAGGCTCTCAACTCCAATAATTCCCTTACAAATTCCTTTTCCTTCCATGCCACTCTACCTTGCTTTCCTGCTTTAAAACCTACTTCTTCGACAAAACTTTTGAAGTTTTATCCTAATATCTTTTCATGTGACTTGGAGTTCTGCATTGTTTATATAGTGCTGCTGTGAAATGCCGTGAGATGTTTTATTATTATAAAATCACAATTTACAAGTGTTGAAAGAGAAAAATTGTTAATAAGAATACAAGAATGTGTCCATACCCAATAAGCTAGATTAGATCTGATAGAATCTCTACAGTGCAGATAGAGGCTGTTCAGCCTATTAAGTCTGCACCAACCCCCCGAACAGCAACCCACCCTATCCCCACAATTCTACATTAACCATGGTTAATCTACCTAGCCTGCATGTTTGTGGACTGTGGGAGGAAACCGGAGCAACCGGGTGGAAACCCACACAGTCAACCAAGGCTGGAATGGAACCCGGGTCCCTGGCACTGTGAGGTAGCAGTGCTAACCATTGTGCCACCGTGCATATAAAGCAAAACAAACATTGCAATTTGACACTCTTTGCAGTTGCAAAACCAAAGCATTTCCTACTCATGCAAGACACTATTTACATACATTTTGAGGCAAATAGAGGCTCTGATAATTGAATAAGACCCTCATTGTACTTTGGCAGAAAGACCTTCAATGGTGGTCTGTTCCCCATTGTGCCTTGATGGCAATTGCACCAAGCTTTAATGCATCACTCAGCATGTATTCCTGGACCTTGGAATGCCTCAGCCTGCAACATATAGTCAAGGTCAACTGGAAAACCACAAATTTTGGGCAGACCAAAAAGTGTCTTTCACCGAATTGATGATATTCCATACACAGTCAGTGTTTGTCTTGGTGTGTGTCCCAG